TTAGACTCTAAGGGTGCCAAATGCTACAGGACTGGTCATTATTTCTAAGCCATTTTAGTAGACAAAGATAAGAACTATCATTTTTTAAGTGATATAATTGACATATAACATTATATTAATTTTAAGTGTAGAGCAGGTCCTGGAATAACATCATTTCCTTGTTTCAATCAACTTTGTTTTTGTTATAATGTTAATGAGATGCTATAGGAACTTAACTCTTGTTCATATCCATTAGCCTATGATGAAACTGGTTTTGTTATGTGTTGTTTCACTTAAAGTTGCAGAACCTATGGATATAAGTGAGGACTCACTGTTTAAAATAATAATGTGATATATGTATATATTACAGAATGATTACCACAGTAAGTATAGTTAAAATTCATCACCACACATAGTTACACATTTTCATTTTCTTCTGATGAGAACTTTTAAGATCTACTCTCATGGCACCTTTAAATTACACATTACGGTATTGTTAACTGTAGTCACCATCTGTACACTATACCCCAGGATTTATTTTCTTATAATTGGGAGTTTGTATCTTTTGATCAGCTTCACCCATTTTGCTCACCCCTTCCCTTCTCACCACACCGCAGCCTCACCTCTGACAACCATCAATTCTCTGTATCTATGAGCTTCAATTTTTAAAATTTGTTTTTTATTGATTTTAGAGAGGGAAGAAGAAAGAGAGAGAGAGAGAAACATCAATGTAAGAGAGACACATGGATCTGATTTATTGCCTTCCTTACTGGCTCCAACCAGGGATTGGCCCTACGTATGTGCCCTGACTGGGAATTGAATCTGACACCTTCCAGTGCATGAATGACACTCCAACAAATTGAGCCACACAGGCCAAGGCTTTTTATTTCCTGGATTCCAGATATCAGTGAGACTATATAAGTCCTACTCTGTCTGACTTAAGAAACATTTTTTTTAATATATTTTATTGACTTTTTACAGAGAGGAAGAGAGAGGGATAGAGAGTTAGAAACATCGATGAGAGAGAATCATCGATCAGCTGCCTCCTGCACACCCCCTACTGGGGATGTGCCCACAACCAAGGTACATGCCTCTGACCGAAATTGAACCTGGGACCTTTCAGTCCGCAGGCTGATGCTCTATCCACTGAGCCAAACTGGTTTTGGCGAGACATTTTTTTTTTTTTAAGAGAAAAATATATCACATGCGAGAACCTTTTAACTGATCTGCTGTATCAGTCTCTGCTTGTACTGAACTTCCTCCTTGGCATTTCTGTCAGAATCGTCCTTATAAAACAGAGATCTGATCTTCCTAATCTCCTGCTTAAAAACTTTTGATGGAGTCCCAATAGAACTAAGAATAGAACCAATAGAACTAAGCCAAAGCTCTTTGGCATGATATACAGATAGAGCCTCTCAAAACCTCCATCCCAACCCTGTTAGCATTCATTCTTCCTTCCCCTAAAGTTCAGCACACCATACTACTTTCACTACACTGTGCCTGTGCTCATCTAGTTCACTCTCCCCCTAAATGCCATGGTTTTTTTCTGTTTCTTGGTATTTATATTCATCCTTCAATAAATAGCTCAGATATCAATTTTCTCTAAAATGACTTTCAGTCTCCCTTTCCCATAGATAACTAATCTGTTTTCATCATACCCTACATAGCACTCTGAAATATCTTTATGTAGCACTAATGAATCTGTACAATCTGTTTACATGCATGTCTTTTTTGAGCTAGAATGTCTCCCAAAAGTACAGGGCACTGACCATCGATGATGGTACTATCCATGGTTTTACATGTTATACGGATGAAGCATTAAATACTGAATTGCATAGTATAAGAGTTACTGCCCTTTTATATTAGGGAGAAAGTTTTAGTTTGGTCCTAGGATAGCTTTAGTAGCTTCCTGTTGTGCAATTAATTTCACTTTTTAAAAATTGAATCAATTGGGATGACATTGGTTAAAAAATTATACTGGTTTCATGTATATAATTCTACCATACATCACCTGTATATTGTATTGTGTGTTTACCACCCCAATAATTTCCCCCTTTAAAGAAAGAGCAGGTCTCAGGATTTGAAACTTTATAGATTATAGTATTTGGCCAGAATTTATATGTTTTCTTTCCACATATTTGGTTTAAAAAAGCGCTCTTTTAATCTAAAAGTGAGCTAATTTTTTTTTTTAAAAAAAAATAGTAAGTATAGCCGAAACCGGTTTAGCTCAATGGATAGAGCGCTGGGTTGGGGACTGAAGGGCCCAGGTTCGATTCCGGTCAAGGGCATGTACCTTGGTTGCAGGCATATCCCCAGTAGGGGGTGTGCAAGAGGCAGCTGATCGATGACTCTCTATCATCGATGTTTCTAGCTCTCTATCTCTTTCTCTTCTTCTCTGTACAAAATTAATAAAATATATATTTTTTAAAAGTATTTATAAAAAAAATAGTAAGTATATTATGGCAAAAATCTCAAAGGATATATAAAAATGACTTAAATATGGGAAATATTGGGCTAGGTCCTTCAGAATTAGGAAGCATGCATCACTTTTTTTCATTTCAAGTTCCAAGTGCTATGTTTAACAACAGCACATCATCCCTAAACTGTTGTCAAATTAAGTTAGGAAGAAACACCCACCTTCAAATTCTCAAGACCCAATGTCATTTTTAATTAATTTTTTTCTTTCTTTTTTTTTTCCAATGTCATGTTTAACAACAGGCCTTCTCTCAACTAACTTTAATGAAAAAGCTAAATAGTATCATTACCATATAAATGCACTTTAAAGTTATTTGCTATAGCTACAGTGAAAGAAATCAAGTTCATAAGAAGGTACACCATAGATTCTCCAACTGGGTTGTGTGGAATGATGTCTAATAAACCAAAGTGCAGGGGCAACAGAAGATGCTTATAATACATTCTAGACAACCACATCACTTTTCATCTTCAAGGTCATGGTACCTTTAAAAAAAGGGTAGACCAGAGCAGCTCTTACTTGAGGAGAGCTAGCGCCATCTGTTGGAGAGTGAATTCAGAGCATAAGACGATATTCACTATCAGGATATATAAAAACTAGAGGCCCAGTGCCCGAAATTCGTGCCCGTGGGGGGCAGGGGGAAGCCCCTTCAGCCCAGCCTGCACCCTCTCACAGTCCAGGAGCCCTTGAGGGATGTCCAACTAACGGCTTGGGGAGCTGGCCTATGCCTGCAGTCAGACAATCTTAGCGCTGCCAAAGAGGAGAGGCTCCCATCACTTGCTGTGCAACCAGTCGTGAGCCTGGCTTCTGGCTGAGCAGTGCTCCCCGTGGGAGTGCACTGACCACCAGAGGGCAGCTCCTGTGTTGAGGTCTGCCCTGGGTGTGCTGATCAGTAATTTGCATATTGGCTTTTTATTATATAGGATGACTTAAATATGGGGGGAAAAATTAATCTCAAATTTTTACCTTCAAAATACTTTACATCACACAAATTTCAATTCACTATGCATACCGAAATACAGTTCTAGTTCTCCACTATGATAGTAAAACAACAACAACAAGTTAATGAATTTAAAACATACTAGTCTTTCATAATTTGACATCTTAATTACAGTTGATAACTAGCCTACTTATATCGATTTAAAAAATGGAAGAAAAGTTAGTTATGCTATGCAGTCTCCTGGCCCCTCATAGGTATTCTGAAGACCAACTATTGGCACAATACATTTTTAGAGTGCCTACTTTCCCTTGTGATGAAGTATTTACAATTTTAACATCACAAGCTCTTCAAACTTGAGAGAGAGCAATATATAACTGACCATGTCCAAAAAACAGATTCAGGTAGGAATATTCCTTCTCTGTCTAGTTTGTCCATGTGATTTATTAATAGTCATCCCAAATGCTGGCATCATGGGAAATTGTCTTTGAATTAATTTAAATGGGAGGCCGGTGTCAGGCGGGGACAGCTGTGCCAGTAGTTGGTGTTCAGACATATTCTGATAACGCTGCTTTCTTTCAGCTTCGGAATGTCAACAAGGACCACCAAATTCACGATCGACAATGACAGATCAAAACATACTGGGCAATTGGCACTGGTGAGAGCTTTATATGTATCTCACATGCGGAGTCAACATTTATTTTTAAATTGCCAGTGCACATCCTATGTACCTGCCGGTCGGTTAGTCACCTTTTATATATACAGATTATTGTTCATCTCTTACTGTGTCTGCCTAATTTATAAATTAAACTTTTTCATAGGTATAAATACATAAGAAAAAAAACAGTATACATAGGGCTTGGTGCTATCCCAGGTTCCATGCATCTACTGAGGTCTTGGAAATATCCTCCCCACATAAGGGTCCAGGCTCAAGACTGAAGGGACAAGGAGGCAGAAGAACCGCCTAGGTCCAGGGCTGAGAATTAGCGGCTGAGAGAGGGAGGCAGGCCCCACGCCTCCTTCACCTTCACCTTCCCTCTCCCCACCCCATGCTCTCCAGCCCGGCTCACCCACCTCAGCACCCAGGACCCCTGGCCTCCCCTCCTGCACCCTCTGACACCCACTGCCCCACGCAGACTCCTGGGCACCACCAGGCCTGAAGACCCCTCCCCGGAGACCACCGGCCCCCGCACCCAGGGCGGCCGCCGCGCCGGGCCCACTCCTCCCGGCCTCCCACGCCGCCCCGCCGCCGTTCTCAGATGCCGGGACCCCGGCACCCCGCACCGCCCCCTCCAGCATCCCAGCGGACCCGACTCCCGCAGTCCCCGCCTTAGGTCCTCCCGGACTCCCGGCCCCGTGCCCCCGCTCCGCACCCCGCGGCCCAGGCCCGCAGCGCCGCCCCTCGGGGGTCCGGGCTCCGGGCTCCAGGCTCCCGGTCCGGCCCCACCCGCGGCCGCGGCCCGGCCGCCGCGCCCCTCCCCCACGCCCGCTCTGCGGCTGCGCGGGGCCGGCGGGGAGGGGGTCGCGCGGGGCCCGCGGAGCGGCGGCGGCGGCGGCGGCGGCGGCGGGACGTGGCCGCGGGCAGGCCCGGCGGGGACGGAGGACGCGGACATGTCTCGCTACACGAGGCCCCCCAACACCTCCCTGTTCGTCAGGAACGTCGCGGACGCCACCAGGTGAGCGGGCGGCGGCCGCAGGTGGGGGCGCGGTGGGGGGAGAGGCGGGGGACGGCCGCGCCTCGGGGACCCGCCGGCCCGGCCCCGCGCGCTCCGTGGGCGCGGCCGCTGCTTCCCGGGCGGGGAGCTGCGCCGCTCGGCGCCCCGCGGACCGCGCCTCCGCCCGCCCGGCCCGCACGCCGCTGCCCGGCGGTGCCCATCCCTCCGGGGGGCCGCGGGCCGCCCCGCCCCGCCGCGCCGCCGGGCCTCCCGCTCCGGCCGAGCGGCGCCGCGCTGGGCCGCTTTGTGGCCGCGCCCGCCGCCCGGCCGCGGGATGGGGACGCGGCGCCGGAGAACGCGCACCTGGGGCCCCGGCTCCCTCCCGCGGGCCGACTCCTGGCAGGGCTGCCGGTCAGGTTTCGTTCGTTGCTCCGTTTTGCACTGTACGCAGAGGCTAACTTCCATAGTGAGATGTACAGGGGTTCCCTTAAAGTTCTGAATGCGGTAGGAACCCCCGTTATGAAGGATTTGCATGGACTTCGCGGGTCCATTGTGGATGTTCTCAGTCCGCCCACCACCACCACCACCACCACCCCCTGAGAAGTCTGTCCACATGGAGCCCAAACATAGGTCTCAACAAGTAACTTCTTCCTATAGAGAGCCCTTTCTCCTTCATAGGAGCCCAGGGGGTTTGCCCCCGGAGGTGTTACCTTACTGCACCGCGGGGAAGGCGGAGCCCAGTTTAAATGCCTTGCCGGGGCCTTCACAGACAGATACATGGGAGTCCTCCACTCCAGAGCCATCTCTTGTCATCATAATTTACCTCTGAGGAGCAAATGTTAAGTGTTTTTAAATTTGATACCTACTTTTATTTTTTTAAATATATATTTATTGTATTGATTTTTTTTTTTTTCCAGAGAGGAAGGGAGAGGGATAGAGAGTTATAAACATTGATGCTAGAGAAACATCGATCAGCTGCCTCCTTTGCACACTCTGCAATCCAACTTGGGACCCTTGAGTCCGCAGGCCAGCGCTCTATCCACTGAGCCAAACTGGTTAGGGCCCTACTTTTATATATGTCGCAACTACAGACAGTGAGTTCATATACCTTATTTGATCTCTAAAAGATGCCTGTGCTTACATTTCTTCTCTCAACCTGTTTATCAATTCATTACAGGGAAAACAAGCAACTTTTATAATTTGGATAAGGTAAAACACACACACAAAAACAAACAGGCAAACAAACAACAACAACAAAAACCCACCACAGTTAAACAGATTCCTTGAATATTGAATAAGCATGGTGTCTCCTCAGAGTGTGTGTCTACAGAAATTAGTGGTTTCCAATTCTGTTGGCCACAGGGGCCAGCCAGGTAACAAGAATGAGTGAAGTTGTCAGGTTGTAAGACATAAAAATTATAAAGGTAGAAGTAAAACCTGTCCCTATTCTTAGATGACATGTTTGTTTATATAAAACTATAGTAACTAATAATCAGTCTTAATAACATATCAGGATGCAAGGTAAACTTAATAAAGATCTATTTCTATATATTAACAACAAATAATTGAAAATAGTAAAATATTTTTAAAATTCCATTTATGTTAATGTCAAAAATATACTTAAGAATAATTTAACAACAAACCAAAATATTAAAACTTTGCGCTGAGCCCTGGCTGGATAGCTCAGTTGGTTAGAAGATCGTCTCCATATGCCAACTTGCGGGTTCCATCCCGACAGAGCATGTACAAGAACCAACCAATGAGCCCTGGCTGGTGGCTCAGTTGGTTGGCACATTATCCAGTAACCAAAAGGTTACTGGTTCGGTTGTCCATCAGCACATACCTAGGTTGGGTGTTCATCCCATCGGCACGTAGGGAATCAAGTTCAAAACCCCTCCATGAGCCAAAACCGGTTTGGCTCAGTGGTAGAGCATCAGTCTGCGGACTGAAAGGTCCCAGGTTCGATTCCGGTCAGGGGCATGTACGTTGGTTGCAGGCACATCCCCGGTAGGGGGTGTGCAAGAGGCAGCTGGTCGATGTTTCTCTCTCATCGATGTTTCTAGCTCTCTATCTCTCTCCCTCTCTATAAAAAATCAATAAAATATATTTTTTAAAAAGTGTTAAAAAAAACAAAAACAAAACCCTCCATGAGGCAAATTAAAAAAAACAATTAGCCCTGGCCAGAGTTGCTCACTGGTTAGAGTGTCGGCCCATGTATCAAAGGGTCCCAGGTTCAATTTCCAGTTAAGGACACATACCTAGGTTGCAGATTCGGCCCCGATCAGGATGTGTATAGGAAGCAACTAATCAATGTGTGTCTCACAGTGATCTCTCTCTCCCTCTATCTCTTTCTGTCCCTCCCGCTGCTATTCCTACCTTCCACTCTCTTAAAAAAAAAAAAAAAATTAATGGAAAAAATATCATCTGGTGAGGATTAACAACAAACAACAAATCTTTACACTGAAAACCAAACATATAGCCAAGAGAAATTAAAAAGACCAACATAAGTGCTGGCTGATAGTTCAGTTGGTTAGAGCATCATCGCAGTATACCAAGGTTGTAGGTTCAAAACCCAGTCAAGGCACATACAAGAAGCAACCAGTGAATGCATAAATGAGTGGAACAACAAATTGATATTTTCTCTCTCTAAAAAATAAAATAAAAATAAATAAGAAGACCAACATAAATTGTTATCATGTTGGTCTTCTTATTTATTATATATCAATATCATGAAATCCATGTTCTTGGATTAGAACACAAAATACTGAGTTTTTAATTTTTCTCCCAAACTAATTATAATTCAAAGCATTCCTGATCACAGGCTTTTTAAAATATAAAACCTCACAAGTTAATTCTGAAAGTGTAAGGATGTAGAATAGCCAGAGTCTTGAAAAAGGTTACTGAAACTGAAAGACTTATACTACTGACTTAAAGACTTACTAAGTGATACAGTAATCAAGAAAGTGTGATACTGGCCTAAGGATATACAAGTAGATCAATAGAACGGAATAGAGAGTCCATAAGTAATCCACACTTACAGAGTCAATTGATTTTGACAAAGACATGAAAGCAATTTAGTAGAGAAAGGAAAGTCTTTTAAACAAATGATGCCATAATACCTGGATATCCATAAAGGGAAAAAATTAACTACCTTCTAGTTCACATCATAATTTGAGCTGGATTACCAGTTGAAGTGTAAAAGAAGAAATTATAAAGGGCCAGCTGTGGCCTAGTAGTTGAAGGCTGATCCATTCGCCAGAAGTTTGTTGGTTTAATTCCTTGCCAGGGCGCATGTTGGGGTTGCAGGATCGATCCCCAGTGAGGGGCATGCAGGAGGCAGCCAGTCAATTCTTTTTCATCATTGATGTTTCTTTTTTTTTTTTTTAATTTTACTTATTTAATTTTGTTTGTTTTAAGTTTTTATTAAAATGCTTAGGATACAGATTGACTTTCTTTTGTAAATGACTGTTTTACTTTTCCTGAAATAAGACCTATCTGCACTCTGATAAACAGAATGAAAAGTCTCAATTCATGGGAGTTCCTGCACATAGCTCAGATCCTCACTGTTAGGAGACAGGCTCCTCACAGCTGCTTCTTTCTGCTGTTACTATAGGAACAATGTGGATTTGAGGTCATCATTGATGTTTCTATCTCTTTATCCCTTTCCCTTCCTCTCTGAACTTAATAAAAATATCTAATAAAAGAGTAATATGCAGATTGATCATCACTCCAACACACAAGCTGGCTGCTCCCATGTGGTCAAAGTTCCTGCCCCCATGTGGACACATGTTGGCCACCACAAGATGGCCAGTGGGGAGGGCAGTTGGGAAGCACCAGGCCTGCAAGGGAGGGCAGTTGAGAGGGACCAGGTCTGCAAGGGAGGGCAGTTGGAGGTGATCAACCCTGCAGGGGAGGGCAGTTAGGGGTGGCCAGGCCGACCGAGGTGGGAAGTTGGGGGCAAACAGACTGGCAGGGGAGCAGTTAGACATCAATCAGGCTGGCAGGGGAGTGGTTAGGGGGTGATCAGGCAGACAGGCAGAAGCGGTTAGGGGCGATCAGGAAGGCAGGCAGGCAAGAAGTTTGGAGCCAGCAGTCCTGGATTGTGAGAGGGATGTCTGACTGCCCGTTTAGACCCTGTCCTGGTAGGATCAGGTCTAAATGGGCAGTTGGACATCCCTCGAGGGGTCCCAGATTGGAGAGGGTGCAGGCTGGGCTGAAGGACACCCGCATCCCGTGCATGAATTTTGTGCACTGGGCCTCTAGTATTTTATAAAAATAAAAGCCATGTTTTGTGCCCATAGCTTGATGCTGAATTTCTTAAAATTTCCATAAGGAGCCCTGGCTGGTTTTGCCCAATGGATAGAGTGTCAGCCTGTGACTCAAGGGTCCTGGGTTCAATTCTAGTCAGGGGCATATGCCTGGGTGGTGGGCTCAGTCCCCAGGGAGGGGTGTGCAAGAGGCAGCTGATCAATGATTCGCTCATCATTGATGTTTCTATCTCTTTCTTTCCCTTCCTCTCTGAAATCAATAAAAATATATTTTTAAAAAATTAAAGCAGAGTAACTTAAACATTAAAAAAAAAATACACAGTACTGGTTAGCTCAGAGTGTTGTCTTGATATGTGAAGGTTATGGGTTCAATCTCTGGTCAGGGCACATACAAGAATTAACCAGTGAATACATAAATAAGTGTACTGATAAATCAATGTTTATTTCTCTCTCCAATCAATCAATGAATAAAAAAAATTTTTTTTTAAAGAGAGAAAAAGAAAAAAGAACATACACTAGTGTCAAACTGTGGGAGTTTTATTCCAGTTCTGTCTGTCACTTGCTGTTCAGTGACCATAAGTGAGTTAATCTATCTGTGCCCTCATCTGTAAACAGCCATGGAGTTGTGAGAATTAAGTGGTGTTAAGGCAAGCAGAAGCTAGCATATAGATGTACCATAACTGTCACATATCAATGCTAAGTATTTTGTCTCTTCAGTTAAATTGTAGCTCTATGAAGACAAATATGCTATGTATTTCTTTGGCATCTCCTCTTTAATATCTGTCACAGTAAAAGGCATATGAAAGTCTCAAAATTACTTGTCAAATTTGAGAATATAGTAGTTATTTTGCTATATGCTTAATGTAAAAATACCCATTTTTCTTTAAAATCTGAGAAATTATTTTAGGACTTCTTTAAATATATATTTTGATTGATTTCAGAAAGGAAGTGAGAGGGAGAGAAAGATAGAAATATCAATGAAAGAGAGTCATTGATTGCTGCCTCCTGCACGCCCCCCACTGGGGATCAAGCCTGCAATCCCAGGCATGTGCCCTGACTGGGAATTGAACCGTGACCTCCTGGTTCATAGGTTGATATTCAACCACTGTTCAATGGCCAGGTGATTTTAAGACTTTTTTAAATTTTAATTCTTGTGCTCTGAAAACAAGATCTAAATATGAAATTCTAATGAAGCATATAAGTATGTTCTTAATGAAATAGTTAATAGTTAGGACTGTTTATATGACCATTGAAAAATCTTGTGATAGGAATAACTTTGGGGTAGATGTGGGTCATTGTTTCTCCAACTTGAGTAGGCATGACAGCCACCTGGAGTGCTTATAAAAATACAGATTTCTAGCCTCTAATCCAGATTTCTTGAATCAGAATCTCTGAAAGTGAGGCCCGAGAATTTTTCTTCTTTTTTCCCCTCTTTCATTTGTGAACCCTGGGTGAGTCTTCTGAGAGATATTTTTAGGTAACGCTAGTACAGATGATGTACTTTCTTTTGAAGGTTTCAACTGGATTTCTGTAGGCATGATATTTTAATCCAGCTACTCATATTTCTTTGCCTTATTTCTAAAACAATTCAGGCCTGAGGACTTGCGTCGTGAGTTTGGTCGGTATGGCCCTATAGTAGACGTTTACATTCCACTTGACTTCTACACCCGCCGCCCAAGAGGATTTGCTTATGTTCAATATCCTTTATTTTACTGTGTGCATTTGAATATACTGCATACAGGTGCACATTACATATATGTATTCAGGAGCATATGTTATGAGATTAATATCGCCTAATTAAATGTGTTTATTTCTTTATCTCAGAAAATCTAAAGCAGTCCACAGTAGCTGGCAAGAGCCCCCCAGTTTGAACCAACCTGTTAGCTAGAATCCGAGCATAAACCGAGCAGGCGAGACAAAAGGCACCTAAAGTTCAAGCATCAAGGAGTAAAGAGGGAGGGTGGACACAGAGATAAAGACCTGAAGAGGGAAGTCTTTATCAAGCAAAAGACAAAGCCAACACCAGGTTGAGACTTCGGCTTTCCTACATTTACTCAGAGTTCCAGAGTCAAAGCCAAGTCTGATTTTGTTGGTTCTTCGTCTCTTATAAAGTCCATCTTGCAAGCCTTAAAGAGTAAAGGTCAAGGTTCAAGATCAAGTGACATTGAGGTAATTGCCAAAGTCTCATACTGTATTGCATTTCTTGGCTTTTTCTGTTTTCTATTTAAAAAAAAAAAAATTAAACCAGTGAATAACCTCCTAAAATACAACTATTCATTTTATATAGCTTATTTCTATTTTAGTTAGGTTTAATATATAATTTACATAGATAAGGGAGTTTAGTGGGTTATTACAAATCAATATATGTAATTCCATATGTGTACAGATTACTTCTTTGTTTTTATGCCCCAAATAATAAAAGTATAAAGATATTTTAAAGCAATAGGTTCAAAGCTAAATATCATTTTTAAAGAACTAAATCAGTTTTGAAAATGTATTTTAGCTCAGTTATGTGTGTGCATTTTGCTTATAAGTAATTGCTCTAAAATATCATAATTAAAAAGCTTTTTGCTAGAAAGAGTAATTTAAATTCAGAATACAAGCTTTCTGCATGCTGATTTAGTGAAAAACCTGATGAATTTTTTACCTGAGAGCAGGGCAATGTTGGACTTACTAGTATTTTGTTCTCATGACATGTTTGAAATTATTCATTTATATAGCATAAATTGCACATTTATACTAATGTATACATTTAAAACATAGTTTACATTTGTTTCTTTTTTATTTTTAGATTCACTCTTTTAAATCATAATGAGCATTTGTTTTCATAATAAAAGTGAAATTTTTTTATTATTCATATTATATAGATGTGAGCATAATTTCAACTTGTTTTTTCTATTAATTTTTTGTCACCTAAATAATTCTCTTAAAATAACATTTTTACTTGATATCTGACATTCAAAGTGTCCTTAACAGCTAGTCATATTCGAAGATGTTCGAGATGCTGAAGATGCTCTTTATAACCTCAATAGAAAGTGGGTATGTGGCCGTCAAATTGAAATACAGTTTGCACAAGGTGATCGCAAAAGTAAGTGTGACTAAGTGTTAGATCTTGTTTACTCAGCAGAATGGATTTTAGCAATGACAGATTTTTTTAGTTTAAAATTATTCTAGAAAATAATACTATTTGAGCGGCCGTAACTGAGGTCTTGCACTTCATATTCCAGCACCAGGCCAAATGAAATCAAAAGAACGTCACCCTTGTTCTCCAAGTGATCACAGGAGGTCAAGAAGCCCCAGCCAACGGAGAACTCGAAGCAGAAGTTCTTCTTGGGAAAGAAATAGGAGGCGGTCTGATAGCCTTAAAGAGTGAGTATCAAACACAAGAGTATTGAAAACTTAATTTTCTACTTTTTCTGGAAAACATTTGTTTGTTTTTGTTCATCCTCACCCAAGGATATTTTTCCATTGATCTATTAGAGACAGTGGAAGAGAAAGGGAAAGACAGGGAGAAACATCGATGTTAAAGAAACACATTGGTTGGTTGCCTCTTGCATGTGCCCAACCAGGGCCCAGGCTGGGGCGGAGCCTGCAAGCAAGGTATGTGCCCTTGACCGGAATTGAACCTGGGACCCTTTGGTCTGCAGACGGATGCTCTATCTACTGAGCCAAATCAGCCTGGGCTGGAAAACATTTTTAAAGAGCTTTGAGCCAGGTTGGTGTGGCTTAGTGGTTGAACATCTACCTATGAACAAGGAAACTACAGTTCAATTCCCAGAGCACATACCTGGGTTTCAGGTTTGATCCTGCAATAAAGGGTCTGTTGGAGGCAGCCAATCAATGATTTTCTCTCATCGTTGATATTTCTGTCTCTCTCTTCCTTCCTTTCTGAAGTCAATAAAATGTTATTAATAAACACACACACATACACACACACACACACACGTACAGAGCACCATAATAATTTTGTTTTATATTCATAAAGAATTATCTTTTGTAGAAAGATTAATTTAGGCTTATTGAATACCTCCCAATATTAAGCTTTTTACTTATTTATTTTTCTTCTGTTTCTTCTCGGGACTCAACCTTTTGACTGGAAACATAATACATAGTGAAAAAAGCAACATATTAAAAAATGTATATTTGGCAAATAAAAATGAGGAATGTTAAATAAATAAAAATTTCCTAAGTGAATCCAACAATTAAGAATGTTAAGTTCTCCTCTGGCTGATGTGGCACAGTTGTTTGGGTGCTGTCCTGTGCACTAAAGCGTTGCCATTTGGATTCCCTGTCAGGGCATATGCCTAGATTACAGGCTTGATCCCCATTATGGGGTGTGCAGGAGGCAGCTGTTTGATGTTACGCTTTCACATTGATGCTTATCTCTGTCCTCTTTCTTCTAAAAATTAGTAAAAACATACTTTTAAAGTGATTTAAAGAATGTTTCACACCAATGTCGCTAGTGATTACAAGCTCGTAAGAAAGGATGGTGGTTGACACTAAAATTAATGTAAATATATTTATAAAAGTTAGTGATTTTAAAAACAAATTCCAAGTATGGTACTATTATAGGAAGATATAAGACTAGTACATTTTTCAGAATATTTGCAAGTTACCTATTTTGCTAGCCAGTTATTTGTTTCTGTTAGAATAATAGTAAATCACAATGGAAATTAATTATTTGATGAAATTATTTAAATAAGTTGTGTTAACATGCCTAAGTTCTTAAAACATTTGTACTATTTATCTGAGTTTTAATGCTAAATTTTTTTCATAGAGAATTTTTTATAGAATTTTAAAGTGAATTCTGTTCTTAAAGAATAATCAGTATTTAGACTAGCATCAGAATTGCTCACTTTCACTCTAGTCCCTTCATTCTTCAACTCTTTCTAAATTCACTTCCTCCATTACACTAGCTACATTTCTTTCTTTTTTTTAAATTCTCACCCAAGGATATGTTTATTGATTTTTAGATATGGGGAAAGAGAGAGAGAGAGAGAGAAAGAGAGAGAGAGAGAGAGAGAGAGAGAGAGAGAGAGAGAGAGAGAGAGAGAGAGAGAGACAGACACACATCTATTAGCTATCCCACATACACACCCCGACAGGGTATTGAACCTACAACCTTTTAGTGAACAAGATGATACTCCAATCCACTGAGCACACTGGCCAGGACTCCATTCCTCAACTCTTAAGACCCTAGACAAGAAAAAGCTCAAAATAGGATATATGTACTAGAGCTGGTGAGTATTTGCTCTAAGTAGCCTGGCATCAATCCTTCCAGCCAGTGGAAGGGAAAATAGGAAGAGAACTATATCTACATTCTATGACTTTAAAATACAAGAATCCTAATTACTAGAAAATGGGGCTGGCCCACTCAGAGCCCTACATCTCAGATTCAGATTCTTACATGGCAGATCAGTACCTCTCCTGGGCATGAACAAAATGCTTTGATTTTGGCCTATCTTTAGAGGCATGAAGGTGGGAGAAAGCCTTAAGCTTCTTTTAAAACAAGAGAATCCAGGTCAGGATTGACTATTATCAAGATTGGTGAAGGAAAATTTAGAAACAAGTCATATTTTGGAATTTGATCCTTTTTATCATACTTTCTCTGATAGTATAAGAATATAAATATCCTGCCCTAACCAGATTGGCTCAGTGGATAGAGCATCAGCCTTTCAGCCTGTGGACTGAAAGGTCCCGGGTTCAATTCCGGTCAAGGACATGTACCTTGGTTGCAGGCACATCCCCAGTAGGAGGTGTGCAGGAGGCAGCTGATCGATGTTTCTCTCCCATCGATGTTTCTAACTCTCTCTCCCTCTCCCTTACTCTCTGTAAAAAATCAATAAAGTATATTAAAAAAAAAAAAAGAAGAATATAAATATCCCTTGTACCTACAGAGAATAATCCAGCTTATCCCATGGCTAAGAGATTTTCCCATTGATTGATATTTGATATTTAGACTCTGACATAAAGTTACCATATTCAAATAGAAAATTAAACTTACAGAACTTAAAATATAGTGAGAGGAAATTAAAGAGCTAAGTTTACATGCTTGTATATAGAAAAACAATACTATTGGTATTGCTTCTGGCTTCACAGGGGACATGAATAGTGTAAGGGAATGATGTTCAACAGTTCATTCACATTACTATGAATTTTAGTGTATATATATCTATTACATGTACTATACATGTAAAGACTATTGTATAAACTATACATGTATAATTTACCACATGCTTATAATGATGTGGCTAGCACACATAAAAAAGTTTTTATATATCAAAGTTCAGGAGGTGCTGAGAAAAAAAGGGGGAGGGGCCAGTGGCCTGGGAGCACGTACGTTGGTTGCGGGCACGTCCCCGGTAGGGGGCGTGCAAGGAGGCAGTTGGTCCTTAAAGACAAAGCCCGCTAAAGGAGCATGTTGTGACACAACCACAAACTACCCAGCCAAACACTGTCTTTGGGAACAGACTCGCCAGGGGAGAGCGCGAACGCAGTCCCCCACTACCACAAATTATGCAGTTGAGTTTCCCACATTTGGGGAAATCGCAGGGGTCAGCATACCCAGAGTGCAATGGGTAAGCCTCGCCCTGGGGAAACCACCTTCATGATCATGGTATCTCCCCTGCCAGGTAAGTATGAGTGCTGGGCCTTGCTTGGCACACCACCATCGTCCTCAACACACTCTGAGGTTATGGTTAGTTACATTGAGAGTTCTTTTGACCTACAGTTCTGAGTTGCAGTGTTGTTTATATGACAGAGACGAAGATACATTCTTCCTGATATCCAGAGGAAAT